TATATCATCATCCACATCATCTATCTTGATGACATGTACAACATGTCATTGGACGTGTCTGACATGTAGTCCACGCCATCTTACTTCCAACGCTACAGTACTGCAATGGAAGCATTCAAATATGACGTTTCTGCTAGCTAAAATCCTCATTAATCCAATGTGGTTCCACGTGTGGGTGGTGACGTGATTTGGCTGACATGTCAGAAGGTCTGTCTGACTTGTCAGCTTGATCAGCTTGCCATGTCATCCGATGAAGCTGAATTTCTGCCAATCGCGTGTACTCACATCCTTGTGGCAGATTAGACGATGGAAACGGAGTTCTAACTTCTGGCAACTTTCATTCCATTAACTATTTGTATGTGTGCAATTTACATAAAAGCATACACTTTACCAAAAGTATTATACTCACTAAAACAGATACTTTTTATGTTTATTATGAATGCTGAAAACATACACTTTACCGAGTTGTTCCACAATTTTAAATTAAAAACAAGATTTACAAATATCTATTGATATAATACTTTATCCTCCATTAATCAAAGGTTAATTTTTAAGGCACAATTTTTTAAAATATGTTATACTTTAATAACTATTAACTAAAATTACATATTACATTTAAGTATAGCACAAATTTTTTTCCTTTTGTAACATAATAAAATACTAAATTATGAACATAACTTGAATATATTACACATGTATATTGGGTAGATTATAATAGTATATTTGATGCAAAATTACATTCAATTAGCATATTTGTGTACTTTTTTTTGTCAATGTCTTTCCCTAAATAGCATGTATTAGTGTGGGATAGCTAGATTTATATGTCATGTAATAGTGACACAATATTTTATTATGTAATATTAGAAATCATTCATACATACAATATTTTTTGTTATGTTACAAAATAAAATTAGACACGACGCGCGAACATAACTGTAGTTGTCTCATTATTAGATATTTTGAACTGTATCACTTGAATCCTTATACTATATAAGAATGAGTTTAGGGTAAAGATGTTTTTTGGATTTCAACCGTAAGGATAGGGCTATTTTGGGAATGTAAGAGTTTGAAGTGCAATTGGAGTATTGAATACAAGTCATTATAGCTAATTTAGTTTTGTTGTAATTACTTAGATGTCCTTTTAGACATTTAAAGCTAGGGGTGATAGATATTCGATTGAACATTGGGTATAACTAAATTCAGCTTGTGTTTTAGTGAAATAACATAAAAGCCCTTCTAGTCATTTAATTGTATTAACATCCAAGTCTCTTAATTTCCTAAAGCATTTCTCATCAGTTATCTGCAAACTTATGATATATAGATACTAAGACACAATTAATGCCAATTAGTAGAGAAGTTTGCTTTCTTGGTCGTTACCCCCATCTGTTCATATTCATTTCATTTACATACAACTTTCTTTCACCACAATCATGTAGCCTATTAAATTTGGATATTGCTATATTAGCTACTCCTCTTCCCCATTTTGCAACACCTTTCTCAATAAGTATATTTTCTTTAGCCAATCTACTTTTTGCTTGTAAGAAATCTCAATAGGTATGTTTTCTTTAACCAATCTACTTTTTGATTGTAAGAAATCTGTAATCTTGAAGGTTGTATGTGTGATAATTTTTTAGTATTTTAATTCAATTGTCCATATTAGATAGGCATGATAGGGAGGAGATCACATTTGTTAATTATTATTTGTGGTTTAAAGTAAGTTTATCATTATAAATTTTCCCATATGTAGATTGCATCTACTTTTGTTGTTTTAACTATTAGTTATGATAATTTTCAAATTGTTTGTTATTTTATTGATGATTCCATTTAGGCAAATTTTTCACTTCATTTGATTTGCCAATAGGTTTAACTATCTACTTAAAACTATTTAGCTGCAAATCTAAAGTATGTACTTCATTACTTTTAATTGTTTTCTTGAATTGAGTGGTCTAAGATGTTTTACTACTTTATTTGACGTGGTTATTCCTCTAAATTAGCATTTTAGTTGTTGTATATCTTTGCAACTAGATCAAAAACTGATGTTTAGTGATTGTAATCCCTATCCAGAAGGAGATGCTTTACTATATGTTCTAAATCATACAATAAATCATAATTGATGGATTGGTGAATGTGGAGATTTCATGATGATATGTCCTTGGAATCAATATAAATTCAAGAATTTAGCTTGCAAGAACCGAAATTCCACTAGCAATGATTTTCTTCAAATATGCTAATTGTTCAAATCTCACTTATATGACAAGATAATGTGGTGAATTGTCCTTATATTAAGATCAAATTCAAACTAAACAATAGATTTTAATATCCATAAAGTGCATGAACAGATATAAATAGGTCTTTTATTTTATTAGGTTAGATGCAAAATAGTTGATCGTATCTTATAATTTTGGTTGATTTCATATTAGTATACTTTTTAACTCAATATGTAACTTATGATTTTTCTATTTAATATCATATATTAAAATTGTCATACTTTAATTCTTATACTACAAAATACCAAATAATAATTATTAACCATCTTTAATTATAAGTACTAAATTTCCACGCGTCGCGTGGGCTTTTCCTCCTAGTAAAAGTTATAAAACATATGGATGAATAAAAAAATTGCATACACCTAATGTACTGTTTCTTTTATGCTGAATCATTTTAAAATGTGCTGTGTATGTAGAGAGAGAGAGAGAGAGAGAGAGAGAGAGAGAGAGAGATTACATTTATTTGAGCATTTATGCTTGATACTCATGAAATAGAGGGGCGATGATTGCCCACTTAATGTTAAAGACAGTTTTTTATTTTTTCGCATTAGACCTTAATTTCCATATTCCAACCTGAAATGCAAAATCTATCCAACCAAATAGTCCGAATTGATAACTTCAAACCCAAAAAAAAAAAAAAAGAGAAAGAAAGAATAAAAAAGGACGACATCTAGTAATTATCATAAGATTAGGATCAAACTTCAGCTTATATATGAGTGGGTCAATTCATAATGCAGTACCTGTTTTCACTCTAACAAAATTTCTTGAATAAGAGTCACAATTTTTTTTAAAAAATTTTGTTAGGCATGGAGATTACGATTCCAATGGAATTGTAATTCTGTTGCAGACCTCTTTACTTAATATTATATTCAACATTAATTACATTATTGTATTTCCCATTAATTAACCTCTAGGCTATTAGTAACTGGACACTTACACTTTGGCTCTCAAATGTATGATGAACTTCTCAATGCTGGAGTACACAGCTGACTATTAGTTGCTCATAACCTTAAAAAACATGAAAAGATGCAAAGAATTATTGAAACCTCTGGTTTATTTATCATACATGGTATCATAAGAGTTTATACTGATCTGAATATGCTTGTGTTGTATCCGATTCTTTGTGTCTAGTTTGAGGCATAAATGAACTTTCATACTACAAACTTTTCTAATGTTTGAGGAGATAATATAAAAACCAAATAAGAGTAAGTGAGGTCTAGCATGAACAAGGCCAGGGGGTAGCAAGAAAAAAATTCTAGAATTTATGGGGTGAGAGAGGAAGATAGGATATTGCCCTCATATTTTTGTTAACAAGGGAATCCGCAGTCGCTATTTGAGAGTGCGCATTGGAAAAATCCTGTCCCGTGTAATAGTCTGCTAACCACAGGAAGGATAAGACGCGCTAAGCGAATCCTGTGCGACGAGTAGATATCCCAAGAGAGATTCAAACTTGACTTGATAGGAAGGGATGACATCAATTCTATTATCTCGACCAACTTAAGGGACATATTATCCTCATATTTACTTAACTCTAATCTCACAATCCACCTAAATTTCACTACTTATACTCCTCTATGAAACTCGACAATCCAAATAATAATAGTCAAATCAATTGACTTTTCTAATCTAAACTCCTAGGTTCTTCTAAAATAGGTTTTAAAGAAATTATTGCATATGATGGGTCTACCACGATTTAGTTTGCATTTACAGGCACTAGATATAGAGAATCAGTACTCCTAATTTTTAGCTGGTATTTTCTATTTGATACCAATTTACAACTTTTTTAGATCGCAGACATAGTTTGGAAGTTAGAAGAACTGTTGACCATTTACTTTACAACTAATGAGAATTGAAAAATTAGTTTAGGTAATAGACTACTGAAAATGGTTCAAGCAATACACTATCTCATAACATATAAAATAAGCTTCAAATGTGAATACAATTAATAGCATCTAGAAATGTGAAGGAAGATACTCAGCCCAAAACAGGAAAAAAAAAGGTCAGAAAGAAGCCATTAGAAAAGAGACTAATGACAAATTTATGCTAATATGTGAAGTTCTTTATTAAGATTGTAAAGACTTTTTCAATTGCTAATCAAAATTTTCATCAATCAAAATTAAATTAAATTTCAAAATCTTAAATGATCAACTGCGGCAATAGTAGTGGCATTTCACCCGCATTCATAAGCAAATATGTGATCCGCATGAGAGGCGCAAACACAAGTCACTAAGATCATTTTACCTGCAAATAAAAATTGGCCCCAAGTTATAAAAAACATATGAATGACAAAGAAAAATTACAACTTCTTGGCAATCAAAATAATCGAGCATTCCTGGCACCTAGCATGTTTTAGGGAATGTATCCTGCACATAGCGTGAAGCTTAGAGGTATACGATAGATACTGATGTATACCAGAATCTCTATGATATATAGCTCACTTAAACTCCCATCTTTGGAGACTGCATTCCATGAAATTGGATTCTATTAGCACTGAGCCTTCATTTTCATCTTTTCACATTCTTCTTCTGTGCACTTTGGACTATATTGCCTGAAAAGTGTCATGCATGCTACCTTGAAATTACTTTTATTCTGTCCTAATGATCGTCCAGAATTGGTTCTGTTATCTTCTTCTTTGGATGGAGAAGTCTCTCAACTAGGAATTCCAGTACCTTTGGTTAGAATTTACTCCCTTTTCCCTCTTCACATAAAATGAAACAAAAAAGTAATATAATCAATATGCAAGGTCTTTACATTCAGTTACAAACAAAGATGTATGCATTAAAAAAAAAAAAACATTGAGTCAGAGAAACTTGTATGATTGCAGGCTTTAAAGCAATCTTAAGTCAACAAGAAACTTTCCACAAAGTGATCTCTTCCTCTTTTTATAGGAAACGCTTCCATAATTTGCCATCTTTCCAGTTTGCAATAACAACTTCGGAGACGAGAGCAATTTTTTGATATTCTTCACTTCCTTTATCCTGCAGCTTCACTATCAACTCATTGCTCATATCAGCAAGCCCAAGAGATTTGAGCTCGTTTAAGTTTTGGATTCCCCATGGTAGTTTTTCCACTAATTTACACTCTGCCATGACTAGTTTATGGAGGCAAGGCATTGCGCGATCGCCCACTCTCACGCACTTCAGTTTCTGCAATCTTGTGAGCTCTAATCTCTTGAGTTTCTGAAATCCTCCAGCCATGAAATAGAGTTCCTCTCCTTCATATGCGTTATTGAGTGACACATCTACCAGATTTGGCAAACTCTGAAGAGACTCTAGAAGATCATGCCTCAACCTGCTGCCAAACAGTTGAATTGTGGTCAGGTTTTGAAGAGAAGCCACCCACGGTGGAATCATCTCTAACCGGCCGCCCAGTTCCAACACTTGAAGAGCTCGAGGGGTTGGAGAGATGGGATGCAGCAAATCAAGAGTATCATCTTCTTTAATTGAATTAACGCACAATTGTCTGAGATTAGTCAGCTTCCCCAGAGAGGAACAAAGTATCGCCCCATCAATTTTTCTCAGCTTCGAAATGCCTAACTTCCTTAATTGAGTGAGCTTTCCTATTTCCATTACTAGTGTTTTGTCATGGTCTGCATCTATTGAATGTAAAATCTCCAAGAAGAGTAAATTTCCAATTTGGGAAGGAGGTTTAACGCCGCATAAAGCAAAATCTTTGCCTATGTGATATACTAAAAGAATGCGAAGTTTTCTGAGCTGTAGAATGCCAACGGGCAGCTCCCTCACTTTGGTGCCAATCAAATTCAAGTATTCCAGGCTATGAAGCTTACCAATGCATGGTGGAATGATTTGAACTCCTGTGTCCCTTAGATTTAGAAATTTGAGACGAAATAGTTGGAAAACTTCCTTTGGGATGTTCGTCAATTTTGCTCCTTCTAAATGCAGAACCTTCAGCATCTTTGGACCACCACTTAAGATCTTAGACAATGAGGAGTTGAACAGGGGATCTGTGTATCCAAAGATCACCAAAGACCGAAGATGCCGAAAGTGTTTGCATTCTTGGTGGTTCTCATTGTATCCATGAATTGCTAAGCGTCTGGGTTTATCTGGCAATCTTGCACAATCTCTTGAGCATGAGGAAGCTACATTCACAAAGTTTTCTTCTCTTGATTTTGTCAGAATGATTTCGCGCAGAATGTCATGGACACGGCAATATCTAATACCTCCATCACGGTAGAACTCTGCCACTTGGATTAAGCTTCTGTTAACAAGTTCATTCAGATACCCCAGGGCTACTTCAGTAGTTGTCATTCCTTTCTTTTCATGTATGAATCCTTCTGCGATCCATCTGGGAATTAATAACTCCGGATCCATTTTCTGGTCTTCAGGGTAAATGCTTATATACAGCAAACAACTTTTAAGGAAGAAAGGCAAATCATTGTAGCTGAGAAGTAGTATATTTTTTACCTTTTCCAATTTGCCGATTCCTTCTAGCTCTCCACCAAGGCTCCGATGAGTCATCTCCCACTCATCCAGTTTGCTCTTGTTCTTCAAAGCCAAAAGACCACCAATTGCTACAATCGCTAGTGGCAAGCCCTTGCATTTACTAAGAATGCGTCGTGAAACATCCTCGAGATTTTGAGGACAGCAATTATCCCCAAATGTTTTAATGCAGAAAAGATTCCAGGACTCTTCAACAGGCAAAGGCTTCATCTCGTGTATGTAATCACGGGATTCTATGCATGAGCCGATGGCTATGTCAGCAATTCTTGTTGTCAGCATTATGCGACTACTGTAGCTGCCATTAGGTAAAGCATATTTGATTGCTTCCCATGAATTCATGCTCCAAATATCATCAAGAACAATGATATACCTTCTCTCTTGCAGAAAATCCTTGACAAATGCCCTCAATTGATTGCCCTCCATCCACTCCACTTGTTGAGGGACTGGTTCACGGATTTCATTGTGCAACTGCTGAATCAAGTCCTTGAGGATGACCTTCATGTGAAATGTTTGAGAGATAGTTAACCAAGCATGGCAGTGGAACTTTCTCTTCACAGTAGGATCTTCATAGACTCTTTTTACCAAGGTGGTTTTACCTAGTCCCCCCATACCAACCACTGAAATTACCTTCAGGTGGGAATCATCAGCAAGGACTCGTGAAATGAGTTCCCTTTTGGGCTCATTGATTCCAACGAGCTTGGCTTCTTCAACTAAAAGTGCGTTCCCCCTCACATAACTCGTTCCATCTTCCGTAGCATCGGAAGAGCTGGATCCCCTTCTGAAAGTACTATACGTGGACTGGTATCTCTGATGCCTTGCAGATATATCTTCTACTCGAGACCTGATATTCTTTAGCCTAGAAGAAATCTCATAGCGGACTCTTACATTCTTGACTGAGCAAAATATCTTTTTAATGCGCCCGAGTAGCCCATCAGCATGATGACAACCAAACTTCATTTCAAATTCATCAAGAACATCTTCTGTATCAGAAGCAACCTCTCGCACTTGCCTAAGCCATTCTTGAAGCTCATAGACATCATCTTCTTTAGCCTCAGCATCTCTGAGGAAAGCCCTCATGCTTCCCAGCTCATCTTTGATGAACTGCACGTCTTTTTCAAGTCCACTACCCAGATTAGTATTCTGCTGAAGGAGGAAGGTTGACAGTTCTTTAAGCAGAAAAGCTACAGAATTCTCTGCCATTACTTCTCGCACTCAAGTTTCGGGAATTTTTTTTTTGTGAGTCAGAAATTTCAGGAGGTTTGGTGAAAATTGAGAAACTAATTGTCAGTGGTTTATGGAGTGATGAAAGATGTTTGAAAGAGTTGATCTGGGTTCAACCTGAACAACAAACTTTCCAGCCCCTTTCCTAATTGTTAATCTTCTTCAAGATGATATTTGATGGCATAAGAAAGAACAAACTAATCAGAGGCAGATGGGCAGAAGAAATGGAAAATGATAATATCGTGATGTTTATACCACAAATAATCTCACCAAATGTGAAAACAAAGACAAGAAGTGAAGAACAGAAAGAAAACGGATGACAAGTGGAAATGTTTATGCAATTGCATTGAAGCAGGACGATTGACTTTAGGGAGGAAAAGACGTGAAAGTTTGCCCTTCTCCAATAATTAGATGCCGATTACATGGAAAGAGAAGACTTGACTTTGGAGAGAAAAAGCAATTTGTATACACAATCATTTGTGGTGGTTAATCTAATGGGGAAATTTTATACAGAACTTATATATCTTTTCATCTTGTTTCCTCGAAAGGGCAAAAAAAACTTTCATCCTATTTATTGAGTCAGAAATATGTCATTTATTTTCTGTTAATATTATTGGTTCGAGACTTAATTTGTAAATCTAGCAGCGACATTACTAGTAATCTGATTTTTCAATTTGTAGTTTGCAGTACATTCCTCTATTTTCTTTGGGACAAATTACACTTTACCCCCTATGATTTAGTATTTTTTTACATAACTCCCCTATGGTTTCAAAAACTATACATAACCCTCTCATAGTTTGAATTAAAGTATCAAAGTGACGAAAATGATCATTCGTAACGGAGTCATCTAAAATATCAAAAATACCCTTATGTAAAATTAAAAATTATTTATTAACCAAGGGGATTATATATATTTTGAAAATTATAAGGGGGTTGTTTAGTAAAGTATTAAAGCATAAGAGGGTTATATGATAAAACATAAAACCATACGGGATTAATGTGTTATGTATTTATAAGAATAATTTTGACATTTTAAAAAGTTCCATTTTCCGTCACTTTGATACTATAATTCAAACTATGAGGTGGTTATGTATAGATTTTGAAACAATAGGGGATTATGTAGAAAAATACTAAATCATAGGGGATAACGTGTAATTTGCCCTTTTCTTTGACATCTTTATGTGCAACTAATGAAGCTTATCAATCACCCAAAAATTAAAAAATGAAATGACTAAAAGTCAAATTAAAAATTTGAAAGTGTTAATATCTCATTTAGTGACAGATGATACAACTTACACATTTAGTGATAGATGATACAACTGAGAAAAGAAAAAGAGAGACAAAGCAAAATAAAGGTATATAAGACTAATACAAAGGTATTCTTTCTTCTCTCTACAGGAGATGTGTCTTCCATGTACCATTTACCCAGTTTCCCAGGTCGGTAGTCGCAGGAATTTGAACAATTTTTCGATATTCCTCGCTTCCTTTATCCTGTGGCTTCATGATCAACTGATCACCTGGAATATACAAGTGAAGAGATTGGAGCTTGTTTAACTATTGGATGCCTCAAGGCAATTCATCCACTTGTTTGCATTCCACAATCATCAGTTCTTGGAGACAAGGCATTGCATTCTTTTCCGCTTTCACTGTCTTCAGTTTTTGAAGCCTCGTGAGCTCTAGTTTCTTGAACTTTCCAAATCCTCCAGCCTTGAAGAACAATTCTTCTCCTTCATAAGCCTCAAGAAGTATCATTTTCTCAAGATTGAGTACATCTTGAAAGTGTTCCAGTGGATCTTTCCTCAAACCACTGCCAAACAGGCAAATGGTGGTTAAACGTTGAAGAGAGGGAAGCCACTGTGATACCTTTTCTAAACGCCCTCTCAATTGTAGCTCCTGAAGAACTAGAGTGCTGCGAGAAATGGGATGTTGCAGATCAAGAATCTCATCATCGTTAATTGCATTAAGATATAATGAGCGGAGATTGGCAATGGAACAAATACTGTTTCCATTTTCTCTGCTTAGCTTGGAAATGCCTAACATCCTCAATTGAGTAAACCTTCCAAATTTCAATCTCTCTTACTACTTCATCATTTTCTGCGACTATGGAATCTAAATTTTCTAACAAAGAGAGCCTTCCAATCTCTGTTGGAGATCTTAGGCCACTAAATCTATAATTTTCTGAGTAGTTACCTTGATGATATACTGAGAGCTCGCGAAGTTTTCTGAGCTTGAGGATGCTAACAGGTAGCTCCATTACATCCTCAATTGAGTGAGCCTTCCAATCTCTCTCACTACTCCATCATTTTCTGCGACTATGGAATTAATATAAATTTTCTATCGATGAGAGGCTTCCAATCTCTCTTGGAGCTCTAAAGCTGCTAAGTCTATAATTTTCTGAGTAGTCACCTTTAAGATATACTAAGAGCTTGGGAAATCTTCTGAGCTTGAGGATTCTAATGGGCAGCTCCATCACACTAATGTTCTCTAAATTCAAATATTCAAGGTTCTGAAGCTTACCAATAGATTCTGGGATGATTTCGATACTTGTATTCCTTAGATTTAGATATTTGAGACGAAACAATTTGAAAACAGCTTCAGGGATACTCTTCAAGTCTGCTCCCTCTAAATTCGGAACCTTCAGCAGATCTGGACCATCACTTAAAAGCTGAGACAATGAGGAATCATTTAGGGGATTTATGTATCCATAGATTGCCAATGACCGAAGATGCTTAAAGTTGTTGCATTCTTTGATATGATCATTAGTGAAACCATGACCAACCGTCTGATGTTATTTGGAAAATTTATATAATCATTCATGGTAGCTACAGCTGTGAAGTTCTGTTCTCTTGATTTGCTGCAGAGAGACTTGCTGCAGAGAGATTGGATACTAACTTCAACCGTTGCCATTCCCTTATCTTCTTCAATGAATCCTTCTACAATCCACCGCTGTATTAATATATGCACATTTATTTTTGAATCTTCAGGATAAATGCTCGTGTACAATGGACAATTTTTAAGAAAGAAAGCTGAATCATTGAAACTCAAGAGGTATATCTTCTTAAGTCTTTCAAGTTTGTCATTTCCTAACTCACCACCAAGGCTACGAAGAATTATTTCCCACTCATCAAGATTGGACTTGTCTTTTGAAGCCAAAACTCCACCAATGGAAACAATTGCGAGTGGTAGGCCATCACATTTACGAAGAATACGTCTTGAAATGTTCTCTAGATGTGAAGGGCAGCAATTACCCCCAAACGTTTTACTGCAAAACAGAGTCCAAAGGCATCATCTTGTGGACATGGTCATGTGACTGTGTGCAAGATCTGAAGGCTGTATCAGCTATTCGTGTCGTGAGCATTATACGACTACGACAACTGGCATCGGGAAATGCATATTTGATTGCCTCCCATGAATCCAACCTCCATATGTCATCAAGAACGATGATATAAGTTCGCTTTTGCAAAAGATCTTTGACAAATGCTCTTAACTGGTCACCATCCATGGCCTCCACGTATCGAGGGACTTGTTCCTAGTCTTCATTGTACAATTGACGAATCAAGTTCTTGAGGATCAGGTCCATATGAAATGTCTGGGAAACAGTTAACCAAGCATGGCTTTGGAGCCGTCTCTTCACACTCGGATCTTTATACAATGTTGTTTTCCCCAAGCCTCCCAGGCCAAGCACTGACACTACTATCAGGTTGGAATTCTCATCTAGAATCTGGGAAATAAGCTCTCTTTTTGGCTTTGCAATCCCAACAAGCTTAGCTTCTTCGAGTAGGAGTGCATTTCCTCGAATATGTGATTCAACATTTCTACCAACAGTAGAGCAAGAGCCTCTTTCTGAAATGCCATGAATGGGCTGGTACCTCTGATGCCTTGCAGAAATACCTTCTATCCGTGACTTGATGTCTTTTATCTTAGACGAAATCTGATTGCGAGTTTTTATATCATTGATGGAGCAATATATCTTCCTAAAGGGCCAGATTACCCATGAGCATGATGACGAGCAAGCTTCATTAACAATTCATCAAGAATGTCTTCTATATCATAAGCAACTTCTCGAACTTGCCTGATCCATTCTTGAAGCTCAGAAAATTCATCTTCTTTAGCTTCAGCATCTCTGAGGAAAGCCCTCATGCTTCCCAATTAATCTCTGATGAATCGGGCATCCCTTTGAACTGAAGCCCTTCACCCAGATCACTACTCTGACTCGGGAGAAAGGTCGAGAGCTCTTTGAGTAGAAAAGCTACTGCACTCTCTGTTAGTGTGGCTATCCTATATCGAAAAATCAAGAAAGAAGCCTCCCCTTATTCAACTATAAATAAAGGGCTCCTGTGATGAAGTTAAGTGCACCACTCAAGAGAGCATTAAATGGGCTATTAGTTTCTTGGATCATCTAACCCATTTGTAGTTAAATATTTTAGACTCTTTTATTTTGAGTTTAGAAGTATTTCCTAAACTCTTTTGTAAGTGCCATTTTGACCTAAGAACCACTTTCCTACGACTTTTATATTTTCTTCTTTATAGTAGAAATTTTGCTCCTCCATCGCCCGTGGTTGTAGGTCAAATTGACCGAACCACGTAAATTTCTGTGTCTTTTATTTTGCTTTGTTATGTGTCTTTATTGGGTTGCCACAACTTTTTTATATGGTCGGTTTTACTACTTAAGTATTATATGGCTGGTGTCTACCGCCTAAACATTATATGGTCGGTTATACGCCTATTTTGTTTTAATTTTAGTTTGTTTATTTTTGACCCAGTCCTAACAAACTGGTATCAGAGTTGTTTGATATATTTTGTAAGATAGGTTTATCTAGTAGGGCCCCTTCACCCTTTGGGGCCCACTCATCTCGTGGGGTCTGCTCGTTTATCCGTAGGGCCTGCTCATTCCGTGGGTCCGCTCATCTCGTGGGGCCTGCTTACCCTGTGGGGTCCGCTCATGAGACTTACATATATATATATATATTTGTTTGACCAGTTTTTGAGACAAGTTTCAGGTTACAGATTTTGTGACAACAATGACGATAACAAAGACGGTTGTCGAAAAAATTCAACAGGAATGTTAACTTCGGCATGTGGCAACTCAAGATGGAGGTCATTTTTGTTCAAGACGGAGTTGATTTGGCAATACAGGGAGTAGAGAAAAAGTTAGAAGCTGTGAAGGATATGGAATTTGCCGATATGGATAAGAAGGCTAGATCCAGCATAATTTTGAATCTCTGGGATGAAGTTTTACGGGAGGTAGCAGTGGAGATTTCAGCCAAGGTTATGTGGGATAAATTGAAAGTTTTGTATATGAAGAAGACAGTCGAGAATTGGTTATATCTGAAG